GCTTTGTAAAGTAGTGAAGTCAGTTTCCTACAAAGCTGTTAAATAAATAAATGAACGACACCATTGACCGGTCACTATGAAATTTCCAGTGTTAGAGGTCAATCTTTAAAACCCATAGAATACCATTTCGATTTTAAGTACGTTTTTTGTAACTGCACAACTTCACCCAATGCCGTCTTCATAGAAGAATTTTCCAAAACGCGAGATCGTTTTTTGCCATTAAAGTTTAAATTAAGCGTTTTATTTGTTGCCAAAATTTAAAATCACAATTTCATGTTATAGGTTTTGAAAATTAGCCATTAGCAATGAAAATTCTATAGCGACCAGTCAATCGAAGTTATACCTTTTATTGATCTCATGAGAATCGTAAAAATGGCAAAAACCGCGAAACGTTTATTTATTTAAGAACTTTATTTGAGTGGCTTCAGATCATAGACGCACATATGTAAAAAATAAAAAAAATTAAGTTAGTAGTGGTTTCTTATAGAATTGTTCCTGTTCTTTTCAACCGTGATAATAGTTTCCTTTCACCCTATTATTACTAAGCATAGAATTATAGGAGTGTTCCAAAAATTCAAGAACGGTGTTTTTCATGTCCCAGTGAAAACCCGAGGCGGAAACCACAAGTAAGTTAAGTTTTCTCCGAAAAGAGAAGAAGTAAAAAAGTTTATCTGTAGTTTTCAGGCTATTGTCTACCTACCATCAGACCTGAATATTGCCAAAACGTGGAAAATGTTTAATTATGGTAGAGAAGAATCTGAGAAGGTTACTCAGGTATTTTTCAGGATATATATTGGATTCTATTACCCTTGCATGGATGAATGTAGTACTTGCATAGAATGAAAAAAATGAAAATGGAGATACAACAGAAACAGTATTGAGAAGAACTTTGTTTTGCCAAAAGTAACTGATCAAAGTGCATGCTATTCACGATAGTTTTACTGTTATAACCTTCTAGTAGGTAATTGATTGTCAAATGAATCCCTGAATCCCAATACTGTCTCAATTTATACTTGGACAGAAGACGAAGCAAAAAAATCATCCTACGAGGTTGCTCCCATTTGTATTTAATGAGTTGAGTAATGATTATATGACTCCATTCGTTTGGTGTCTGATGGTTGTGCTAGACAAAAATAGAATATAAATGTTTTAACAATGGGCTGCAAGTTTCTGGATAGCTGTAATTCAACACGTATAAGAAAAATTTGAACAATCTCTCCTGTAACAGGGCACTTATTCCTTCCTGTCGACAGAGTATTTGGTATGATAGAGAAAACATTAAAAAAAATCGAAAATTTTATGAAAATAGCGGCCCAACTTCATTTCAAAATTTCCACCGGCCGACGAATAGTTCTTTGGAAAACTAAATTTGAAAACATCGTTGTGAAAGAAGATATGGCTTATAACCTTGACACTGGTGCAGAGAGGAAAATTTGTAAGACCAACTGCACTATTGGATTGATCAACCCAAAAGAACTTCGTATTGGGGTGACCCTAAAAACAGAAAAGGTTAAGGACCTATCTTGAGGAACATTTTCGAGTAACTTGGAGAGAGAATGGTACTTTGCAGTAGTACAAAAACATAATGCAAGCAGAACTTGAAATATCGGCTGAATGTGAGTGTGAAAATAATAATACTGATTTTGGTAGTAATCTTGTGTTAATTTCAATTTGAATGTTGCTAAAGTTTAAATCTTTTATGAGTTCGTATATTTTACTTTAAAAATTTTTAGTTAAATTACTTTTTAGTTAGGTACTACTGCAACTTGAATAAAAGATTTTAAAATTGGAATTTTCCTTTAAAATACCTGATTCCCTATATGATTCCCCTGCATTAAATTTTAAATTAGGTCCAAACAGAGGGTTCAATTTTTTTTTTTTGGTATCAAAAACGACACCTACCATCACGTTTGGATCAAACATGGAAATTTACCCATCTTTGTTCCAAAAGCGGACATCTGTATTTTCAAATAATAATTTTATAATAATCTTATATATTTCTGATATCAGAATATCCACAAGATTAGTTTTGAAGCCTTATCTAAAATTATCACTCATTTGATTAATTTGTGGCAAAATTCATAAATAACGTGAGAAAGCTGTTCTATTCACCTTTAAAATACATTTTGATCGATAGGGTACTGTGATCAAAAGACGTTGAATTTTTAACGTCGAATTAATACAAATTTTATTTAAAAATTGATTTCTTGTGCTTAACTGACATTCAAAATCTAAAGATGGCTAATAGAGATTTTGTTCAAAATTATCTTATAGCTACATTCATTGTTTTAAACATTTTTTTCTACGGCATACAGATTCTTGGTAAGTGGATGGTTTCCGTTTCCCTGCTCTATGAAAGGAGTTTTAAGGGGAAACCCGGAGTAGGAGCGGCAAACTCTTTTGCATCTTTTTCGGGTCGCAAAATTGACATTCTTTGCAAAATTTTTACTTGTATAATTGTATAATTAGTTTTCTTTTTAATTTTAAGTTTTGCTAGTGGCACTTGTTTTTGTTATATTAGAAAATATCTGTTTTATCTAGTTACTCATTATGATTATTTTATATTTCCCGTGTTTATGTTTCCTGTTGGAAATACAGGTATTATTTGGATCCCAAACATAAGCTGAATTTATTAATAAATTTTTAATATTGAACTTTTTTAAGACTTCTAAAATATCACTTTGTTTATCACTCACGATACCCACTAATAATCGTACTTTCTGCGATTATCCAACAAATGTAGAACATTTGTAAGATTTTTTCCTCATTTTTTCTCCATTTATTGTAACCCGTTAAAAAATTAAAGTGTGTTATGAGTATGTAAATCGTTTCAAATTTGTAAATAACCCATAGGTTTCTAATTTAAAAGTTTTTAAAAGACTACGGATTTTTTTTACCAATAAAAGTTTTAATTTATGCATGCCTGAGAAATTTTCGCAAGCCGTTTAAGTTGAGCTTTCCTCGGGCTGTCCAACTTTATTATGTACAACAAAAGTTATGATTAGTATTTCCTGTTAATTGAAACCTCTCTCGTCTTTATTGTAGAATAAAATTAGGAATGGCCAGGAATAAAATTTAAATATCAAGTGGTGATTCTTGAGGATGCAAGTCAGTTTATTTGGACCACAAGACAAAGAAAACTATTTGATTTACTTTCAAGCTTCGAATTTATTTTAATTCTTTTTCAAGACATATGTTAACAAAGACGTATAAAAATTATCTAGTTATAATTGTTAATTGTCTTACTTACTAGTCTTTAAAAAGAATTAAAATAAATTCGAAAGCTTGACAGTAAGTCAAAGAGTTTTCTTTGTCTTGTGGGCCAAATAAACTGACTGCATCCTCAAGAATCTCCACTTGATATATATATATAATAAATATATATATATATATATAATATATATATATATATATATATATATATATATTATATATATATATATATATATGTGCATATGAATATGCATAAAAAATAAGTTTCCATATTGGAGCCACTTATCAAACAAAGATCCCAAAATATCTTATAAGATTCGATACCCTTAACGTTGTCCTTGAGATAAAATGGACAAATATTACTGAAAGTTTAGACGTTAGCTATTCTGGCAGAAAAGCATAGGTCTTAGAAAACAGGCTGGTTCTGATCCGACTATACAAAGAAAAATACTGTAAGTTAGTCCTAATCAGATAGCTACTCAAATTATGACTTTCTTAAGAGCCAGACCAGTAAACGACGAACTAAAGATGTTGGAATCATGACCATTTATCCTCTGAAAATGAAATACATTTTTTTCGTAACTAACTCTGCATGACGGATTTTCTACAAGTCATCGTTGGAATCCGTTCAAGACGACGGCTGTGATATTATGCGTGATCTAATACGCTAATATGCTGTTACTATGTACACGCTGGAGAATATTCTCGAACTACTTCTCGAAGCATATGGAGTTCATGTCTTCATGAGAGTCCCCGATTTCTTTCGGTATAAAAACAAGAGCACCATTTTGCAGAAAAACCGTATCGCTGCCAATTTGGGTGACAATTAGACGCTGATCCTTACGTCACCATGATAATATATCTTCATTATCTGTTAAAAAGGAATTCCAACATCATTTTGTTTATAGAAAATTAAAATCTTTTAATGTTTTTCGGATTAATTCAAGGTTCATTTTAGGAAAATTATCTTCTTCTTAGAGTGCCGTCTCCCTACGGAGGTTGGCAATCATAATGGCTATTTTTATTTTAGAACTTGCTGCTCTAAACAAATCAATCGATCTGCATTGGTACCAATCACGTAGATTCTTTAACCATGAGTTCTGCCTTCGGCCAACAGATCTTCTTCCTTGAATCTTTCCCTGTATTATCAATCTCAAAATTTCATATTTTGGTCCCCTCATCACGTGGCCTAGGTATTCCAGTTTTCTGGTTTGTATAGTGGTGATAAGTTCTGTTTCTTTACCAACCCTCTCCAGTACTTCTTTATTTGTAATTCTATCAGTCCATGATATTTTCAATAATCTGCGGTATAACCAGAGTTCGAAGGCCTCGATTCTTTTTAAACTACATTTTTTTAATGTCCAAGTCTCAGCTCCATATAATAATATTGAAAATATATAACAGCGAATGGTACGTAGTCTGATCTCCAAAATTATAGATTTTGCCAATTTTACTTAATATGGATTTGTTAGTTGGAGCATTATTTTCACAGAAAATTAAATGTGCAAAGTTCTGCAAAGTATTTTTTTGACTTTATCCAACTTATAGGTGGCTTTTGTCATTTGATGACAATGATAAGTATGAAGATCAAAAAAAATATATTCCCCAAGTAAAAGAAAAATTATTGGCAGAAAATACAAAGTTCTTATATTTATTCTAATCTGTAGCATAAACATTTGTTTTAATATACCAGTTTGAATAGATTCTTTATTTAGACAAATAAACAATGTTTTTCATAATATGATACTGCCGGATATTAATAACTTACAAATAAAATTATTTTGCAGGTTAGCAGTCCAACGCAATACTTTTGGTACAGAACCACACTGATGATCTCAGAAGACGTAAACACTCCAGAAAGTTTTAATTGGAAAATAGCGCTTGCTCTACTCGTCGCCTGGATTCTGGTTTATCTTTGTATGATAAAAGGAATCGCTTCTTCGGGAAAGGTCGTCTATGTTACAGCAACGTTTCCATACCTTGTGCTCATTATTTTCTTTTTTAGAGGCATCACTCTCAAAGGTAAGGGTTCACTTTACAGAATCATTGTATGAGATCATTAAACCGTTAGTTGCATTCTCTAGTTTTCTATGTAACCTTCAACGTAGTGGCCGCTATAGCTTATTGGATAGGTACAGGCTTACCAAGTCGGATTGCTCAGGTTCGAACTCGGCAGACAGCAGAAATTTTTCAGAAGCACTTAAAATCGTCTATTCTGACTACTTAAGTAGTAGTTAACAGTAAATCCTGAGTCAGAAAGTTATAATAATGGAAGATATAAAATTAACCAATTGGCTGAAGTACGACGGGTTATAACAACAAACGGCTTCCGAAAAAAAAACTTTACTTAGAGATCATTATTTTATTTGGCTTATATCGTTATAGCCTTTTTCATATATATCGTTTTTATCCGATTGCATTACAGTTATAACAACTTTTGTTTTATTAAAAAATTGTTTAAAATCCTTTATAAAAGGTATATAAAAAATGCCCCAAAATTATCCTACAAAATTTCATAAATTCCAGTTGACCCACATTAATTTTAAAAAACTAATTTTCAATGTTTTAAATAGAGCTATTTGATTAATTTACAATACAGATCACAATATTGATGGTTGATACTGTTACATTATTATAATTTTAAACTTTTTTCAATTTTAAATAAGGCTGACATCTGTCATTTTTAGACAACTACCGTAAGTTACACTGACTGCTCTGACACAACATCCGTCCTAACATGTCAACAATGTCATTTTGATCAGTTGTTATCAACAGGTCCTCGTAGACACTTCGTCTCAGGACCATTTTACTTATGTAGAGTCATATGCCGCCATGTTACCTACCCAACGGTAACTTAAACATCACAAATTATAACTATTAATAATGTAAAACAACTACAAATTTAAAACATTTAAAGGGTTTTGACCCATATATTTTGGTGGCCACTAGCATGTACAACCGTAAGTATTAACCACATTTTGCTCTAACCTTTATCAACATTTTAATTTAACGTTCTTTTTAATTAAAGTGGTTATATACTTTCAGGTTTATTTATCAATCCGAAAACGTTTTGCAATGTGTTTGTGATAGCCCGTTTGGGGCATTTTTTATATACCTTTTATAAAGGATTTTAAACAATTTTTTGTGATATATGGTATACAGCCAGCTACAGGAACTTAGTTTCCTAGTGGAACTTTGTTTTATTGTTCGTTTCCTTTAAGTGCCTTCTTCATTATTCTCGGAAAATTAATCTATATTTTGCAGTTCTTAGTGAATATTTATGTCTCCCTGTCAAATTTTTAAAACTTTTAGCCATGAGAATTTTCGCTGTCCCGGACCTCTTTTTCCCTTAATTTCCCTTAATACAGAACTTATTGCGAGAAAGATATTGTTCCTGATTTCAGGTTTCTGATTGAAATCAGTTATATATAAAATTCAAAGGATATAAAGTACCACAAGATACACCCCGATAATGCAGTCAATGGAGGTAGTGCAAGCGTGATTAAAAATAATATCCTTCATCACAAAAAGTTAAAGTGTAAAACTGCACATCTAAAAGCGACTTCTGCATGAGTTTGAACTAAAAACTGTAATATCAATCTAAGTTCAATTTAGTGTCCTCCTGGCATTCCATTTAAAAAGAACAATATAATCAGTTCTGAAATACCTTAAAAGAGGGATATAAAGTAGAAGGAACATTTAATGCAAAGAATACTCATTGGGGCTCTACAACTACCACTTAAGGACAGGAGCTTATATTGGCTATCAACGAACATAGATGCGAATCAATATTTCCTGTCTAACCAACCTATTGGCCTACACATAAAAATAAAATTCCCACCTAATAGATTTATTAGAAATTCAAAATATTTTAGTTAATTACCTAGATATTGATGATGGTTGGAACATGAACTCGAATCATTCGCCCATGCATTACTCTAAGCGATACTACCAAAAAAAGATAATATTCTAACATTAACTAATAATCTATCGGATGGGTAAAGTTTCGAACTATGTCTTGAAGCAAAAATCAACGACAATCAAGAAGTACCGCTACAAAAGTCAGAGCAGCTAGATGAGAAAGCTGAACTGTTTGTGCACAATATCCAGCAAGCAGCGTGGGAAACACTCCTGTGTTAAAACCTAGGTAAAGAGAAATAATTATCCAAAGGAAATAAGAAAATTATTAGTCGATAAAATAAAACTAAGAGGAATATGGCAAAAAACTAAGTCTCCTCAAGATAAAACAAAACTAAAGAATGAAACAATTAATACATACTTAATGTATGTATTTAACGGATGATAAAAGAACTGATTATTCTTTATGGAAAACTACAAAAAAAACTAAAAAGACCAACTATCCACTCCCACCCAATCAGACTAGAGGACGGTAATTGGGCCAGGAGCATGAAGAAAAAGCAGACCGATTTGCTAAAGATCTTGAAAATACATTCAAACCCAATGAATGCCAAGAAGATGAGTAAAGTTGGAAAGACCTAGTTCAAATAGAGACAGTAATAAGACCAACATATTCTAAAGAAGAAATAAGTGATATAAACGGAAATATCAACCCAAAAAAGCTCCAGACTATGATTTATTCACTGGTGAGGTACTAAAAAATCTACCTCGTAAAGCTATTGTGAAACTTACTAAGCTTATTAATGCTGTCTTTGTGTTAATGTATATACTTAGATTATGGAAAATAGTGAAAGTCATAATAATTGCGAAACCTTATACCACTAGTTCCTGTAATATCGAAGGTAGTTGAGATTATCCTACTCAAAAGAATAAAAAATAATTATTGAAACAAAAAAATTAATTACGACACATCAATTTCTCTTCAGAAATTGATCAACTACATTGAATCATAAATATAATTGAAAAATCATTAGAAGAAAAGAGAATGTGTTCTATTATATTTCTTGATGTTGTTCAAGCCTTCGATAAAGTGTGGCATGAAGGTTTGATATATAAGCTAAAAACATCTAGGCATCCCAAGCAATATTTGCAAATTTTAGAGTCTAATATATCAGAAAGGCACTTTAATAAAAGAATTAAATAGGAAAACACGTATACATGTATCATATTTTTGTCGATTTTAAAGGCGCCATATGACAATGTCTGAAGACCAAGTCTTTACAACACTATGAATGAGTTAGGAATTTCAAAAAAACTCATATGTTTGATAAAAGTGACAATGGCGAAGATGCTATCGGCAGTAAAAATTCAAAACGACTCGTCAACCCCATTTCAAATACATAGGGGGCTAAGGCAGGGAGATGCGCTGGCGTGTCAGCTTTTTAATGTCGCCTTAGAAAAAGTTGTACGAGACGCTAATTTAGATAGCAGGGGAACAATATTTAATAGATCAGTCCAAATTCTAGCATATTCAGACGACGTGGACATTATAATAAGAACTAGGCGAGAACTGTGGAAATGCTAACAGAGCTAGTAGCCGCAGCAGAACGAATGGGGTTACATATAAATAAAAATAAAACCAAATTCATGGCGACTAACACAAACACAAGAGCTGGAAATGTTGACACAAATTTAATCATCAATGACGAAAACTTCCAAGCAGTCAAAGAGTTCATATATCTAGGGACATCGGTTAACTTCAATAATAACACATCTGAGGAAATAAAAAGGCGAATAATAATTGCAAACAGGTGTTATCATGGTCTATCAAAGTACTTAGCTAATAAACGTCTGTCTCAAAAAACTCGTATAAGGCTGTATAGAACACTGATAGTCCCCGTTCTCACATATCGATCAGAGGCCAGGACGCTAACGAAAACATATGAATCCGCTCTATCCATTTTTGAAAGAAAGGTGCAACGCAAGATATTCGGAGCGGTCTGTGAGATCGGAATATGGAGGCGTAGATATAACTTTGAACTGCAGAATATCTACAAGCATACGTTTGGTGGTAAAGATATTACCACTACAATTAAGCGAAACCGTCTTCAGTGGGCAGAACATGTAGCCCAGGCCCCTGAATCGAACATGATAAAAGAGATTCTAACAGCGCAACCCGTGGGAATGAGAAGACAGGGTAGACCTGAGGTCTGAGGCTGATGGATGGGGTAACACAAGATGCGGAGAAGATCAGAGTCGGCAACTGGAAAATGCAAGCAAGCGACAGAACAGAATGGCGTAGAAAACTTGAGAAGGTCGACGCCCTCTAAGGGCTGTAGCACCAAGATGATGATGAAGGAAAACACCTATTCAGACATAATAGAAATTAGAGTAGAAGGTCCGCAAGGTAGCGTTTTGGGTCCGGTCCTTTATTTGCTGTACAGCTTTGCTGACGATACTATCTGAATGAATATAAATCTGTCCACATTAACTTAACGAATAAAAAGATAAAAAATATGTCAGTTACAATTAATAATAACCAATTAGATGTGGAAATACGCTGAAAAAATTATGGTAAGAAAAAAAGGGTAGAAGTTAGCATAAGATACAAAAAAAAATGTATTGGATGTTTGGAAGAAAGTCGCCTCTCTATCTATATAAAACAAGCTTTTACTTTATTAACAAATATTACGACATATTTGGATTTATGGTAGCCAACTCTTGGGGTGTGCCAAGAAAAGTAATATAACAATACTTTAGAAATTTTAGAATAAATCATTGTTTCTTCCAATTTAGTTTTTTAAAGCCATCATCCAATGACTAATCAAACAATTTTGAAGATACGGTATCTTTCTATGTAATTCCACGTCCTAATTTTACTAGTTGTGTTGCTGTTAAGACTTGTTTTTGAATTCCATAATAACAGTTTGACTCACTTTATATAATTTACATTCTTATCCTGAATTCTTATCTTATTGCAACCCAATCCAACTAAGACCGAAGTGTCCTGCTTCCATTTGTACAACCAGATGGCCAACTATCAACCTCAAATCAATTTTGGGATAGACTCCTTAAATATAATAAACACCCAAAATACTTAGGTGTTACACTTGACAGAACGCTGAACTTTAAAGAGCACCCACACTTAGATCGACAGCATTAGGACTGGTATAACCCCGTAGCGGAATACTGTGCACCAGTATGGATAAACAGTCCACATACTCACCGTGTTGATGTCCAACTCAACCAAGCTATGCGAACTATATCGGGCACAATCAAGGCCACGCCCACTTACTGGTTACCAGCTTTGAGTCATATGCTAGCTCCACCACCCATCCGCCGGGAACATGCCCTTGTCAGAGAATTTACAAAAATCAATACTGATCCTGAGCTCCGCTTCCATGTCGGAACTTCCGCCAGAGACATGAATAGGCTCCGTTCAAGACACCCGCCTCTAAAAACAGCAAAAAGGCTAGTAGATCAAAACTTTAATTTCACTGAACGGTGGAGAGAAACAATTCGAGAATAACGCTGCACCAGCTAACTGGAACATGCCATGTATTACAAGCAAACCTGGGGGCTTCAACCAACCGAGACGAATTTGGACCACACTCAATAGGTGCCGAAAGGCAAATAGTAAAACACATGGTAGAGGAATGCCCGATTAGATCCTATAACGGCAACCCTTCAGATTTTCTGGCTGCTACAAAAGAGTCAATCGAATATATTTATAATCTAGATGTTTGTTTGTAGAATAATATTTTGTATTTACTGTTGTTTGTAATTTATATAATTTGTATTATATGTATATATATATATATATATATATATATATATATATATATATATATATAAACCTGTGATGTAGCCATACGCTAAATAAATAAATAATAACATTCTTATCGTTAATTCTGTTGAACACAAGAGCTCATTCCTTCATTTTTTTGCTTTAGTTTATTTTTTGACTTTGTTCTTGCTCGTCCCAACTTTTTAATAAAAGTAAATCATCTGTGATCTATAATTATGAAATTATATATATTTTTAGGTGCTGGAGATGGCATCCGACATCTCTTTACCCCTACATGGCATACAATCTTGGATCCGGTGGTATGGCTCGAGGCGGGAACGCAAATTTTCTTCTCCCTCGGACTTGCATTTGGTGGCCTTATAGCGTTCTCCTCGTACAACCCTGTAAATAATAACTGCTATCGAGACGCCATTATGGTGTCTCTTACCAACTGCTTTACTTCCATGTTCGCTGGCATCGTTGTATTTTCCATTATAGGATTCAAGGCGACTATGACTTACGAACGATGTTTAGATCATAGGAATTTAACATTGACTGAATTTTTTGGAGGTTTATACAATGATACTAATCTTCCTGAAGCAGGGACGTTAATAAATTTTACAGTGGGTGGAGAGATCATAAGTAAAATTATGCCTGAATTACCATTTTGCGATCTTGAACAAGAGTTGGATAAGGTGAGACTTTTTTTTATTTATATTGCGTTTTAAATTCAATTTTAAATAAGTATAAAAATAAGAGCAGTGTAAATTTGAATCTCTTCCTTTTATAGCATTTTAACATTTTTGATTGTGATACCTTACTTTTAAGCTTGCCTTTATCCAAGTGTTTACGTGTATCATATCCCTAATTAAGTATATAATTATTCATTATTTGAAAATTAATAACACTTTTTTTTTAAATAAAATATGTTTAATTTCTTACATTTGTCTCAAATTATAACATTGTTTAAATATAGTTAAGGCGATCTGCAAATATTGGCTTGTGGTAGGTTCTCCACTAGATATTTTTTTTTTATTTTAATTAACGTGTCTCGACCATGAGGTCATTGACACGATGACAGTATAATACAATATAAGGTGTATACAGTTTTACATTTGACAATACATAGTACAAAAAGACACATAAATTACAAATTTAAAACCGTTACTTGCACTTGCAAGCACTTGAATGTCTTTTAAATATTTAAACAAGTTTTCAAATTTCTGAGTTTCACTCAATATTTCTTTAATATTATCTCCCAATTGGTATTGTTTTCTTTTAGCAGAATGAAGCGGACATTCTTTAAGGAAATGTCTGACTGTTAAGGGACTGCTGCAATGGCCGCATGCAGGTGGATCGGTAGAGATATTTTATTTAAATACTATGTTTATATGGGATTTAGCCACAGTTATTGATTGTCGTGAAAATTACATTTCTGACTAATGTTTGACGTTTCTCTTTTCTACTTTTCTAACTAACAAGATGTATTTAGGTTATGTCTCTTCAAAATTGATGGATTGCCATGCTTGATTTTGTAGCAAGGTTGTTTCAATTTAAATATTTTGATTTAGTTAACTGTTTTAAATATGTTTGAAACATTTATTTAGGTTTAAAATAGTTTTTTGGTATAAAACGGTATAAAATATGTTTTAAACACTTATGTTAAACAAGTGATAAATTCTACCGTTACTTGATGGAAATTAATTTTATATAACAATAAAACACTGAAAACTTTGTTTTTAAACCTAAAGTTTAAACATTTAAGTCTGTATACACCACTCTGTAAGTGCTTTTTATTTTGACTCTTGGTGTTTTTAATATAGAGTGGCCCAAAAGTCTGGAAACAGCTAATTATCTCGTAAAATGCTAATCATAATTATACAAAATTTGAGGTACACCTAATTTGGGATACGGAGATTCCATATTTGATATTTACAATGTTGCCAGATTTGCCGTTTTTCTTATATTATTAGTAACTTTGGTTTTTCAAATACATCACTCTGTATATTCAGTCATTATTGGAATCTCCTATTCAATACGAGTTCAACCATATGTAACACTTATGATTTTATGTAATTTGGAAGGTCATAAATACATAAAACCGAAATCTGGCAACGCCTACATTGTTTCAATAAATTTTTTAATACTAACTATTTCAAATACATTAAAACGTAACAATTAATAGTTTAGAACATTTTTTAACATAGTAGTTACGTTATTAAGTGTTTAAAATGTACTCAATTTGTGAGTTGACAGCACCCTAATCGATGGTAGAAGGCGTCTACCACATTTCTTCATGATTGTCTAAAAATTATTCGAGATTCATTGATAATTCGTTGCCTTAGCTCTGCAAGACTTGCTGGTTAAGTTTTGTAAACTGAATTTTTCAAGTATCCCTAATAAAAATAATCTTTAGGATTGAACTCGGGTGAACGTGGAGGCCATTAAATTCTACCTTGTCTACCAATTTATCGTCCAGGAAATATCTCATCTAAATATCGCCGAACATTTACACCAACTATCTAACGTTAAATTTCTTTCGACAAAAAATGACCCAATTGAATAAGTAACTACTATGTCTGACCATACATTTAATTTTTGTGGTCTTTGAGTATGTTTTTCACGCATTCAGTCTTCAGTGTGAATTTACGTCACACCAGTACCTTAAATTGTGTCGATTTACACTTCCACACAGTGTAAAACTTGCTTCATCGGAAAAACATATTCTGTTAACGAAATTTTAATAATTTTCAATTTTATCCATCATTACCTCAGTAAACTCTAATCTACGACCAAAGTCATCTTCACTTAATTCTTGCAAAAAGGTAATTTTGAATGATTTAAATTTATTTTTACGTAATAAACATAAGACTGAAGAATGACCTACATCATGTACTTGTGCAACCCTGCCTGGGGATGTATGTGGATCTTCAACAAAACTTTGCTTATATCTGAAGTTTTGTTGTCATTGATAACTCGTTTCGGTCAACCTGATCGGTATCTATCTTTTACTTCTCCAGATTCCTCAAATCGCTTTACAGTTTTTTGTACCATCGTCTTATGAATAGGAGAACGGTTTAGAGAACGGCATTTTAGAGAAGCAATTTAAATTGCAGAACTTTTTGAACCACAACTACTGTCAATTTTAGTTCATAATTTAAATGGTGAACAAATGTCAAAATCACAACATTCTCCATTTAAATATTTAAATTGATTAAAATCTACATATTTTGCACTGTTTTATGTATTTTTAAGATTTTTCAGACTACATAAAATCAAGTGAACATATGGTTGAAATTGTATTGAATAGCTGAACTCGTGTGAAATTCACACTGAATGCGTGAAAACCATACTCAAAGACCACAAAAATTAAATGTGTGGTCAGTTATAGTAGGTACTTATTTAATTGGGTCATTTTTTATCGAAAGAAATTTAACGTCAGATAGTTGGTGTAAATGTTCGGCGTTATTTAGATGAGATATTTCACGGACGATAAATTGGTAGACAAGGTAGAATTGAATGGCCTCCACGCTCACCCGATCTCAATCCTAAAGATTATTTTTATTAGAGATACTTGAAAAATTCAGTTTACAAAACTTAACCAGCAAGTCTTGCATAGCTAAGGCAATGAATTATCGATAAATCTCGAATAATTTCTAGATAATCATGGAGAAATGTGGTAGACGAAACGTAACTATTATGTTAAAAAATATTCTAAACTATCAATTGTTACGTTTTAAATGTATTTGAAAATAGTTAGTATTAAAAAATGTATTGAAACAATTTAGGCGTTGCCAGACTTCTGTTTTATGTATTTAAGACCTTCCAGACTACATAAAATCATAAGTGTTACATACGGTTAAACTCGTATTTAATAGGAGATTCTAATAATGACTGAATATACAGGGTGATGCATTTGAAAAACCAAAGTTACTAGTAATAGAAGAGAAACTGAAAATCTGGCAATATTGCAAATACCAAATATGGAATCTCCGTATCCCAAAATAGGCGTATCTCAAATTTTGTATAATTATGTCTAGTAATTTAAGAGATAATTAGCCCTTTCCAGACTTTTGGACCACTCTGTATTTGCCTAAGTTGTTGTTTGTTCTTAAAGCTGGTGTTATTCCTATCTTTTTATGTCTTTGGCTATTTTTGTTGATATTTTGCCTGTATATGTCATGAGCAGAAGATACTAGATTTCATGGTTTTCTAATTTCAGGGTTTTCTTGTGTAAATATTGATTTAACATTTTATTAATTGTTTGTTCGTTGTATCCATTGTTTACTACTGTTATTTAATTATGTCTCAAAGTTGTATTTTGATATCGGAATTTCCATTAATTTATGTAACCTGCTATGATAGGCTGAAAGAAAAGACTAAGAACACAAATAACAGAACAGATAATAAGCTATTTTGGACATGTGCTTCGAAGAAATGGTCTTGAAAAACTTACCATCCAGGGAAAAGTAGAAGGCAAAAGAAGTAGAGGTAGATCTCCTACACGATACACGGACCATATTGTTGCTACCATTGGCGCTCCATTGTCAGAATGTGCTAGATTGGCAGAAGATAGAAAAACGTGGAGGAACATTGGAAAAATTACCTAACAGCTTCATGATATCACGATACCTGCATCAGGTTAACGACTAAGAAGAAGATGATAGGCTGCCACCCATCATCATTCCATCCTACACAACGTAATCTGGCGAATAGCAGTAAGCAAGGGGTACAACGAACAAACAATTAATAAAATTTTAAATCGAAAGCTACACAAGAAAGCCCTGCAATTAGTATTTCCACCACCAGAGGAAAACCCAGTACCTTCTGCTCTACTACATATACAGACAAAATAACACCAGATTTTAGAACAAATAACAACTAAATCAAATATATTAAAAACAACACGAGCCAAAATAAAAAGCATTTACACAGTAGAAATCCAACTTGGATTTCTCCCAGCCCCCAGAACAAGCTGGCTTTCGCTCGAAATTAGGAACAAACGATCACCTACAAACAGTAAAAACCTTAATAGAAAAATCGATAGAATATAACAGATCACTGGTACTTATCTTCGTAAACTTTCACAAAGCCTTCGATACCGTGGAATTAGACAGCATTATCACTGCTCTGAACAATAGTAGAGTAGACTACCGTAAATAACATAGCTTGGGCCACTTATAGTTCACTAAGAGACATCTTTAAGAGTAAAATCCCGATAGCTATCAAACGGAAGACATTTGACCAATGCCTTCTTCCTATTATGACATACGGAGCAGAAACTCTCACTTTCACAAAAACAACAGCACTTAAAATGCGAGTGGCACAAAGGCGCATGGAAAGATCAATTCTTGGCGTGACAAAAAAAGACAAAATAAGAAATCAAGACTAAAGGAAAAAAACAGGTATTACTGATGTCGTCGAACGTATAGCCAAGCTGAAATGGAATTGGGCAGGTCACATAGCGAGACTAAAAGACTCAAGATGGACCAGGAAAACTAATGAACTGGCTACCAAGAGAAGACAAACGCAGAAGAGCAACGAAGAGGAAGAGGACGACCACCAACACGCTGAGTGGACGACATTAGACGAATATCCAAGAAATGGCAATAAGACGCACAGAACCGTGAAGAGTGAAGAAAAATGCATAATGATGATGATGACACAATGGTGTATACAAACTTAAATGTAGCGA